TGACTGTTTTATTTTCTGCATTGGGAATTGGCAACCTTTAATATCTGGTTAGTATACTGCATCTGCTCTTTTCTGCTGCTTTGGAAGAGAGGTGGATCTGGTATCTTGTTGAGTATGAAGTTTATACAACAGGAGCACATCCAGCATCTCGCACAACTTCCAGTTTTCCACAGGTAGGAAATCAGAGAGGTATGTTCCTAGTTACTGATGGTAGAGTAATTTAATTTAGTAATCTGGTATTAATGTGAGAACAATTCACAATGAGAACTATGATGTGCTTTTACTTGGTGTAATTCACAAATTTTTTTTAAAATTATGTTTCACTCGCCTTTCTATCTATAAAGTACAGTGTTAAGTACGAATTTTATTTTTCATAGCTATATTATGAGGTAAATATTCTAACTGTGTCCATTTGGAGGTGAAGAAATTGAAGTGGAAGGGAGGTAGGAAGACTCTAGAATAGAGCTGATTCAGATTTTCACCCAGGCAGGTTGGCATCAGAGCCTATGGTCTTAACCAGAATGTTGCATTGGCTCATGGAAGGTAGAGTTCTTCCAGGTAATCTTCTTTCCTTTCAACTTTTCAAAGAAGATATGACTCAATATTCCTCAACCTGAACAATCAAATTAATGGGAAGGATGAATGAGATGAATATGAGAACTGAAAATAAATTAATAAAATTTAGTAATACAACTAAAAATGATTTCTAAACTAAGTCTTTATAAAATATATATGCACAAGTCTAACTCTGTTAGATATAATTATGCATAATCAAGGATCCAGCATGCACAAATATCTACTATGGGCCAATCATAACCAATAAGGACAGGTGCTAGGGCTCGTGAGCTAAACAACGTACAAATCATGACCTATAGTAGCTTATAACCTAGTGAAAAAAAAAACACATAAAAAAGCAAGAATCCAAATGATAATTTGTTCATGGATTGGGATTAATACAAGGAATTTTATTCAGAATGGCAAGATTATTTTTATAGATTTGTCAAGTTGTAATTGTTACTCTCATTTTAATGTGCTCCTCTTTACTGTCTTCAAATAATGTTCATATTAAGTTTTTGTCACACTAGTACACAAACATACAAATTATATTTTACAGTCATGGCAGATTCTACTATGGATGACGTGCGCTAACTTAAACCTGTATCTCCCCCTTTACTTTTTCCCTATCATCTAGTCTTAAGATACTTTATGCAGTTTCCATAAGTAGTAGAAAAAGAGAGAAGTGTCCCTATGTGGTCGACCCTGCCAGTTCTTAAACAGAAATGATTTGCTAGGATAACTCCTCCTGTCTTTGTCTAGGAAGTGTTTGGGAAGATGAAGGATTGACAGCCTGGGCTCCCTATACTCCTCTCCATATAGAAATCAGTTTCCTTTAGTCATTAGGAATTTTAAGACAACTTCATAAGTTACAGAAAATTTGAGAATCACTGTGGCAAATGCCAGAACTGAGAGAAACAAACTTTTCTTTGCTTAAGGTGGAAATAGCACTGGCATATCTCCATTTTGAATTATAGCATGTTCAGAGGCAAAGAATAGAAAACTAAGCTGACAAGGAATAGAGAAAAAATGCTTCCAGACTTCAAGATCTAACAAGTAGTTAATAGGAGAGGAAAAGAGAAATCAAGAGTAAAGTGAGCAAGCAGTGGAAAGTGGAAATATATTTGATCTTGAAGAAAGAGGAAAATAGAAGGATGGTAGGGAAAAAAAAGAGTTTGCTACAGTTTAGATCTAAAATGTCCCCCAAAAGTATCAAGTGATTGGGTCATGGAGGTGTTATAGTTATCAGTGGATTCATCCATGGATGACCTCAGTAGCTTAATATGCTGTTAGGAGGTACAATCTTCCTGGAAGGGGACCATAATGTGGAAGACTGCATTCTTGCTCCTGGCTTATCTTTTCTCACTTTGCTATCTGGTTTCCATGGGTTGAGCAGTTTTCCTCTACCATGCATGTATGCCATGCCATAACCTTCTTGTAACCAACAAACCATGGATTGAATCTTTTAAAAAACTATAAAACAAAAATAAACCTATCTCTACCTATAAATTTCAGGTGTTTGGTATTATGTCCCAGTGGCTGGAAAGTAGCTAATACAGAATGAGAAATAGAATTTTTCTTATGACTGTACCTGACCATGTATGTGACCATATACTTGACTATACACATGAAGCTTTTAGAAATAGTTTATAGGGAAAGTTTGGAAAGCGTTGCAAACACAGGCTAGAGAAACCCTACAATATTATGTATAGAGCTTTATGGGTGATTCTGATCAGACTTCAGAACACCAGAATTCTGATGGAATGCAGTCAACAAACATCAGAGATAGAAGGTTTGAAGTGAGAAGTATGACTTCATTGGCAATCAGACTAGAGACCATGTCCTGTCTACATTTTGCTCACATCCTAAGACCTGGTGTAAGTTTGAATTTAAAGATGGTGAACTAAATAATCTTTAAAAAGAAAAGGCAGCCCACTATGCAGGATGTGGCATTTGTACTGCTGGCTACTTCTGGTCAGATTTACAGTAATAACTAGGGAAGAGAGAGAGACAGAGACAGAGACACAGAGAGACACACACACACCGAAAGAGAGAGAGAAAAGAGGGAGGAGGAGGAGAAGAGAGGAGGAGGAAGGAGGGGAGAGAGGGAAGGGAAGGACAGGAAAACAGAAGAGAGGAGAACAAGAGAGGGGAGGAGAGGAGAGGAGAGGAGAGGAGAGGAGAGGAGAGGAGAGAAGAGAAGAGAAGAGAAGAGAAGAGAAGAGAAGAGAAGAGAGAAGAGAAGAGAGAAGAGAGACGAGACGAGACGAGAAGAGAAGAGAAGAGAAGAGAAGAGAGGAGAAGAGAGGAGAAGAGAAGAGAAAGAGAAGACAGTGAGAGAGCTGAAACTGAGGACAAAGAATGTGCCTATAAATGTATAGCAAAGAAATTGGGGATGCTCAAAATGATTACCATTAAAAAGAAGCCAAGTACTTGGCTTGGAAAGATGGTGTGAACATCTCAGTAACTGGCCAGACTATACCCTTCACAGGTTCAAGGGCATAAAAAAGAGCAAACACTTTCAATGTGCTTTGAGAAGAAAGCTCCAAATTACCCTGCTTATATAGGGCCTAAAGGGAAATGTTTCCCCAAATTTAGTCATTCAGTCACTCAGAGGTCACTGGAGCCATTATCCAAGGGGCCCTGCCTACTGCTTGAGGAGGTGGTAGACTTTGGTGTCATTCAAGTGGTGGTAGTTTTTCAGGCATGCAAAATCAAGATTTTTGGTGTCAGGGACTTTCATCAGATTGTAATGGAAGGTCTGGAAGGCCAGGCATGAACATGTGAGAGTAAAGCCAAATGTTCAGTGATAACCCTAGAAAGTTAGAGACATGGGAATGTGGAACTTGCTAAGGAAAGCCACTGGCAGTGAACAGCATCACCTCAAGAAAAAGACCACATGAGCTGTAACTATCAATGCCATAGGAACAGAGCTGCTCAAGTCCTTTGGAACTCACATCACACCACAATCCACCCCAGGTCCTGGACACAAAGCTACAGGATTTAATGTTTTTCATGCTGGCTTTTGGTCTGATTCCTTTCTATTCTATTATTCTTCCTTTTTGGATGGGAATTTTCCTTGTGCCATAACAGATTGGAAGTACTTAACTTTCTGTTTTGATTTTTACAGTGAATCACAGGTAAGAAGTTGCCTTGAGTCTCACAGATGTTAGCTTGGACTTTTCAACCAAGCAGGAAGTGTGAAGACTTTGGTAACTCATAGAGTTGACTAAACGTATTTTTCATAATGAGATAAATAAAAGCCTTGTGGGGCCAGGGATGAAAATCATAATTTAGATCTCAAATGTTCCCCAAAGTCTCATGTGTTTGGAGTGTGATAGAATGATAGGGGGAAACTCATCAGTGGACTCACTCTTTGATGAGTTCAGAGGCTGACTGCACTATTTGAAGGTGGGACCTGATTGGAGGTGAGTCAATGGGGAATGAGGTGGAAAAGAGTATTCTTGTCCCATGCTTTTCCTCTCTTGTTCTTCTTCTTGGATTCTGAAAGTTGAGCAGCTTTCCACCACCATGCCTTTCCACTATGCTGCTTCTGCCTTGGATCCAAGCAACCACAGACTAAATCTGCTGAAAACCATGAGCCAAACTAAACCTCTCATTCTTTGAGTCGCAAGTGTTGGCTATTTTGTTCCAGCAATGGGAAAGTGAGTAATACAGAGGGATGAGGACCAACTTGACACTTGGTCAGACAAAGCATGCTGAAAGTCCTGAAGCTTTGATGCTATTGTTCCAGGAATACATACCCTTTTTCCTCAACTATTCCCAAAATATCCTGCAGCAAGCAGCCACATTTTGGACAATCTAAGGTTGTTCTCTGCCTTCAGAAATTAGGGGGAGATCTTCAAAGAGTACCTAGTCTTCCCCTTCTCAAATTGATTTTTGATGTTAATACAGTGAGGTAGGCACAATACGACAGGAGGTACATGGGTCCACCTAGGATGTGTCCCTATTGCCCTGATACTTCTCTGGAAAATGATGGTGTTGATAAACCCATAAAACAACACCCTGCTCAACCAGATCCCTGCTTTCTATAGCCTTTCATGGCTGCTTTCACATATAAATCTTCCTCATATTCTGAGATTTATAACCTTGAATGCTACCCAGACATAGAAACATTCATGCTGCTGAGTCATGTGTCATAAGTAAGGTCATGCTACAATGTCTCAGAAGGTCTTGATTTCCATCAGTCCTAGATAAGCTTTTCTGCCTTAATCTTGTAGTCTTTTGTAGTTATGTCATTACAAAGCTCAGTTTAGAATTTAACTCTCAAAACCACAGCCAGAGACCTCATCAGAGCTTTCACAGAAGCTTGCCAAAGAGCAAAGTGAGAAAAATGCTTTCAATTTGCACCATCTTGTTTCCAATTGATTATAATCTTGTGACAATTTAAGTGGTAGAGATAAAGTCTTTTTTTTCTTTTCCAGAAAAATAGATGAAACCAACAGACACCATGTTAAGCAAAATAAGACACAGAAAGAAATGTATCATATGCTTTCTCTCGTGAAAATTCACGAAAGATTACATGAAATCAGGAAAGGAACGATAAGGGACTCGCAAGAACCCTGAGAACAGGAAAGAGGAGAAACGAAGTGAGTAGGTGAAGCCTGGGTGGACAAAATCACTTCATGATCAATGAATGTATGGAAATATCATAGAAAGTATGGTTAATTAATTGTTTTTGGTACCGGGGATCAAACTCATGACCTTGAACATGCAATGCAGGTGCTTGCTTCACTGAGCTAAATCCCTGGCCCCAAGCTGGTTAATTTAAATACTCAATATAGGTAAAAATTGTAATAAAAATTGAAATTCCTTTTTTATTTAATGTTTATTTTTAAAGAGAATAAAATCAAACAAAATAAAACAAGATAAGCCAATCAAAACAATGAAAGTCTTTCTTCAAAACCTGATTCTAGGAAATCAATGATGGCTACCATAATACCTCTTGTTATCTTTAAAACAGCTGTCCAGACCATGAGACATAGGCATGTAAGATTAACCAAACAATATAAGAACTAAGTTGCTTCTTTACTTCAGTTGTTATCTTTTCAGAAACTGCAGATGTGTGATCTTGAATTTCTACCATGTCTGTGTCTCTCGAACTTGTTCTCTTGTAGGCTGAAGGTCTGAGATTGTATTTTGCATCTTTGTCTCAACACTTTGCTGTTTCCCTTGGAACTGACCCATTGTTGCATCCTAAGTGCTTCCTGCATTGGCTGCCAGTCCTTTGGTGTAATGGATTGGACCAGGCAACTAGGTTCTTCCAATCCAGGGTACCTACATTGGTGGAGAAGCATGGGAAAACTGTTCACAAATGCTCTGCTGATGATGGTGTGGCCTCAGGTCCCAGCTCCTCTGGGCCAGCCCTAGAGCTTGCCAGATCTATGGGCCACTATTGCATAGCCTCAGGGCATGGCCTCTTCTTAACTCCATTTGTTCATAGATTTAGTTTAACTCTGATATTTCTTTGCTGATTTTCTGTATAACTGATCTGTTTCTCTGTGACCATGGGATATTAAGGTCTCTTGTTACAATTGTGTTATTGCTCATTTGATTTTCCAAATTTACCAATAACTGTCTAATATAGCTTGGTGCTACTGTATTAAGCGTTTACCTATTTATGATTGTTAAGACATTTGTGCTGTCTCTAGCTTTTTCATTGACCCCAATCAATTCCATGTAATTCATCCTTGCCTCATCTTATAGGCATTAGATTGATTTTTCATAGATTGATGGTCTCTTGCTATTTAAGAGTTATCTTACTTTTCATGATCACTACTTACAATTCTTTCAAGATCTGAAATGCTATCCTTTCTTTCATTCAATCTGTTGCATACACTGTCCATGGAGGTTTTAATCTGGATCTTTTTGGATCTGTTTCATGTATTTCATTTCTCTCCTATGTTGCACATTTTTGTTTCTATCTTTTTCTAATCTCATCTATTCTTTTATTTAGAGAAACATATTTCTCTAATATCTTTCATTTTTAGCATCATTTATTTTTGTACCAGAGAGATTATTTTCTCTATAGCCCTTTTCTACTTATTTTTTTACTTCTGTTATCATTTCAGAAAGTTTCAGTGTTTGACTTCCAACTTCATCCATTTCTTTGAGTTCCAGGCCTGCCTTGAGTGGACTGAGGGTTTGGGGTCGCACCCCATTTCTGCATCTTGCCATTCTCTACCCTCTCTTCTTTCTTTTATTTTGTCTTCTATGTTGATGTTCATCAACTTCCCATGATATATAGCTTTACCCTTAGAACTAAGGCCTGTCTCAAGGAGGAAAGGAGATGTTCTTTCTTCAGAGATGTCCTCCAGATGTAGCTGGTTCTTTCTGGTTATCCCAAGAACCGACCTTCTTCTGGTGTTTACAGTTCTGTGATACTGTCCATGTTACATTCCAGACACGTGTTGGGAATGGAGCCCATCTCAGCCTCTGAATGTAGGTGCTGGGACTGGTGTTCTGTCAGTGGAGTTCTCCATAGTCCAACTGCTGTCTCCTCCCTGCTGCTTCAGACATTTCCACATCACTGGCCTTGCTGATTACTTCACCTTCTAAAGGTGTGTGTGCATCTGTGCACCAGGCAGCTGTCCTGGATCTTGGGGTTCCCGTCAGTCTTACACCCTTCCAGTTGGCCTGCCATCTAAGGAGGTCATGGGGAAGCCCAGAGTGTGAACTCACTGTCTTCCTGTTTCCCTCCACTCTAGGATGTGATGGAGGGATGCAGCGAGCAAACTCACTGTCCAGCCAGCCGGCCATCAGGGAGGCAGTGGAGGCGCAAAGAGCACACAGTCACTGTCTTCCAGCCGGTAACCCCTCCAGGATGCAATGGAGGGTGCAGAGCCCCAATTCGCTCTGCACCCTCCATTGCATCCTGGAGGGGTTACTTTCAGTTGGCCCACGGATTCTGAGCCCTTCCTCAGGGCTGCACAACTCTAGGATAAATGTATGGCACTACTGCTTAGAGGCACCAGCGTGGGAGCAGCACATTTTTGCCTCCCTGTGTGTCGAAATTCCTTTAAAAAAAAAATAGAGATTTTTGAGTTTGTCTTGCCTTGGAGGCTTGATGCTTTGAAAATCTGAATGGTGGGGGGAGATCTTCAGTACTTTTTTCTTCTTAAAAGGATATGACAAATGCTAAGGATGTAGCCTAATAGTAGAGTACTTGCCTAGTATACAGAAGGCCCTGGTTCCATGTCCAGCACCAGCCCTCCAACACACAACAAGCAAAAAGACAAGGGCAGATCTGTTTTCTTAGTTTAGATGAAATGATTTATATGGGCCTGTTTCTCCCTGTCATATGTAACAAAGTGTCAATAATATGCCTGAGAGCACAGTGGCACATGCCTATAATCCCAGCACTCTGGAGGCTGAGGCAGGAGGATTATCATAATTTTGAAGCCAGCCTGGACTACACCATGAGTTCAAGGCCAGCCTAAACTCCATAGCAAGACCTGATCTCAAACAAACAAACAAAAAAAAACCACTTATGCCTTAGAAATCTGGGTCCGCCCATCACACAGGTGGTCTAATGTGATGAGTACAGGGAGAGTGACCTCACCATTACACTTACTATTGAAATCTCCTTTGGCTCATTGTTTTAAAATCTGACTGTCATCAGTGTATTTGACACAAGTTTACCAGTTGTGCTGAACTTCATATAAATTAACATTTAGCTTCTGATAGACTTTGAGAGACTAGGATTTCCAAATCCAAGAATCCTCTTTCAGCTACTACGCTGTTCTCTCAGAAACTTGCCAATAAACTCAATGGCATCTCCACTCAGATGTCCATACTGTAAGCACACTGGGGCTGAGGCAAACTGGACCTATCATACTCATCACTTGCCCCTCCTCTGAGAATTGATAAGACAGTCACTCCAGGGAGCTACATAGCAACAGTAATAATTCTAAACTTGCAGACCTTCTAAAAGGATTTACCTGCCAGTGATAGGAGTTTTCTAATCAGAGACACATCTCTACAAAGATGGACTCTGTCTAAGAAGAAGACCTCCTACAACATAGCAGACACCTCTGAAGTTCCCAGCTAAAAGCATTAATGTATTTGTGTACAGGCTATGATCCACATCACAGTGCTCCAAATGGGCTCTGTGCGGCACTAAACCCTTTCCGAGTTCTCCAAGTTTAAAACTGCTTTCTAATAATATGAAGTTATTATTTGCCTTTTTCATTTTTATTTGTGTATGAGCATACACTAGAGAGTTCCAGGGATTACATGACACAGTAGCAGACTGACTAGGGAAGCAAGTGTAAAAATTCAGGAACCCTCATTAAGAACACTGGGGCTGAGGCACATATTACAGATATGTGCAAAACGGTGGCATATTCCTGAAATCCAAGCACTTGGGGAGGATAAAGTAGTAGGATCACAAGTTCAAGTTCAGTCTTGGAAACTTAACAATTTAGCAAGAGCCTGTCTCAAGTAAAAAATTTTAAAAGGTTGGGAATATAGCTCGGTGCAAAGACTCTGCATTCAATCTCCACCACTATACATATACACGAAGTAAGTTAATTAATTAACCTATTCTTACGAATTGACTTTCAAAATAGTTTTTTCCATTAAGTATGTTATTTTGTTAACATTCAGCAGGTAACTACTATTTTAAATGAACTAGTAGACATTTAATACTTTTAGTTTTAATTTTTACTATAATATCAAAGGTATTTAATACAGTTACTCCATGTACACACAAAGTTGTCAATGTCCACCATAATTTTTATGAGTATGAATGGGTCCAAAAGTATGAGAACACTAAGAGAGGTGCACTGCACATGTATTATCTCGAAACGACCCTACAAGGCAAAAGATAGAAAAGGAAAATTGAAACATTATATGGTTAAGGTCATTTGCCCAAACTTAAACTATCAGACATTAAAACCCAACACTTTGCCTTTTTCCTGTGCCATTCTGTTTGCTCTTAAGGTGCCCTTGTATTTGGCTAGTGTGTGAAAGCCTGAATATATAAATAGACAATGGCCATACCAAACATAAAAATAGAACTTTGACCTACAGCCTGCGGCAATGTTCCCAGGAAACCACTGTCTTTATCTAAAATAAACTGTCTTTATCTACAATAAGCCAGACTGCAAGGAATAAATCATACTTCCAGGAAGCCAGGCTGCTCTTTCCAAGTAATGATCTAAAAAACTGAACAGAAACTTCTGCAACAATCATCCCAAATGGACCAGATCTTGATTAATGAAAAGCACCTGTCCCTGGTGCTAATTCAGGGCCAATAAAAGAATGTCAAGTATACACCCCACCCAAATATATAAAGCCTGCTTCTGTGGTTAGCCCTGCTACAGTGTCTCCATGCCAACGGGCTCCAATGGGGCACACCTGAGGCATCTTCTACCCAACTGCCTGCTCCCCTGGCTGCCTTTAACTTTCTCCCAGAATGCAAATGAAAGTGTCTGAGTGCTTTGCTACCTCTAAGAGTATTCTCACCGGATTGGTCTTTGTTTATTTCTACTTATTTCTTGGCCATTATCCTTTAAGTCACTGGAAGGTAACACCAGAGTCCAGTACTCTGCAAAGCACATAGAACTCACTCCCAAATACCTGGTGCTTTATGAAAATTATGCTGGCAGTTGTTTGATTAAAACACAGCCACTGCAAGGCTGTCTGGCTATTTCAAGATCTCCATTCCACTTATGAGTATGGTCTCAAGCTGCTCCCATTTATTGATAAATATCTCAATGTGATCCTTCTTTATAGCTGAATAATACTCCATTGTATAGAAATACCACAACTTTTTTATCCATTCCTCAGTTGATGGGCACTTGGGTTGTTTCCAAGATCTGGCGATTACAAATTGTGCTGCTATAAACATAGGTGCACATATATCATTGTGGTATGATGCTTTCAGTTCTTCTGGGAATATGCCTAGAAGTGGAATAGCTGGAATAAATGGGATTTCCAGTCCCAACTTTTTGAGAAATCTCCAGACAGATCTCCACAAAGGCTGTACCAGTCTACACTCCCACCAGCAGTGCAGGAGAGTTCCTTTTTCCCCACAGCCTCTCCAGCATTTGTTGTCGGTTTTCTTGATCCTGGCCATTCTTTCAGGAGTGAGATGGTATCTCAGTGTGGTTTTAATTTGCATTTCTCTAATGACCAATGATGATGAGCATTTTTTCATGTATTTATTTGCCATTTGCATTTCTTCATCTGAGAATTGCATATTCATCTCAGATGCCCATTTTTGGATTGGATCTTTGAATTTCGGAGGTCTGAGTTTCTTTAATTCTTTGTATGTTTTAGACAAGAGGCCCTTGTCTGAGAGAGAGTTCACTAAAATCTTTTCCCAGTTTGTGGGTTTTCTTTTCACTATGCTGGAGATTTCTTTTGACATGCAGAAACTTTTTAATAAGAAGTGGTCCCAGTTATTGATTCTGGGAAGTATTTCCCGTGCGGTTTGAGTCCTGTTCATGAATTCTTTACCTACTCCTATGTCTCCAAGGTTTCTACCTATTTTGTCTTCCAATAGATTTAGTGTTTCTGTTTTAATATTCAGATCTTTGACCCATTTAGATTTTAATTTAGTACATGGTGATAGACATGGGTCTAGCTTTAGTTTTCGGCAAATGGAGAGCCAGTTTTTCCAGCACCATTTATTAAAGAGACTGTCGTTCTTCCAGTGAACCTGCTTGGCTCCTTTATCAAAAATAAGGTGGTTGAGTGTGTTCGTAGTTGTGGTTGTATCTTCTAATCTATTCCACTGATCTTCAGCTCTGTTTTGATTCCAATACCATGTTGATTTTACTACTGTTGCTTTGTAGTATAACTTCAAGTCAGGTATTGTGATGCCTCCTGCTTTGTCTTTGCTGCTTAGAATTGCCTTTGCGATTCTAGGTCTCTTCTGGTTCCAGATGAAATTTAGGAGTGATTTCTCTAGATCTATAAGGTATGTTGATGGTATTTCTATTGGGATTGCATTGAATCTGTATAACAGTTTTGGGAGAATGGCCATTTTCACAATGTTTGTTCTTCCTATCCATGAGCAAGGGATGTCTTTCCATTTTCTGAGATCATCTTCAATTTCCTTTTTCAGTGTATTATAATTTTCACTGTATAAGTCTTTCACTTCTTTCGTAAGAGTAATTCCTAAATATTTCATTTTTTTGCTTGCTAATGTGAATAGTCCAGTTTCTCTTATTTCCCTCTCTGTAATTTTGTTGTTCGTGTATAGGAATGCTATTGATTTCTGAGTATTGATTTTGTATCCAGCCACATTACTGAATTTATTTATTGTATCTAAGAGTATTTCAATGGAGTTTAGGGGGTCTTCTATGTAGAGTATCATGTCATCTGCAAACAATGATAATTTAACTTCTTCTTTTCCTATCTTTACCCCTTTTATTTCTCTTTCTTGCCTAATTGCTCTGGCTAGTACTTCCAGTACTATATTAAATAGGAGTGGTGATAAAGGATATCCTTGTCTTGTACCCGATTTTATAAGTGAAATAAATCAATCTCGCATGTGTGAATACCAAATAGTTTCCCTAATGTAAGTAATGATTCAAATATATAAAAATATGTGGTAATCATGATTCCCCATTAGGTGGCCTTGAAGCCTTATAAAGTTTTCACTCATTAATTAGAAAGGCTTTATTCTGGGCTTCTTGATATGAAAATATTTGAAGCTAGAGTATATGAAGTTTTACCCAAATATTTCAAGGAAAAAGACACTATGGTAACTACTATTAAGTCAGGTTATGAGGTGGTGAAGTACTAGGTTATTGAAACAGTCATGCTGTGACCTCTATTGTTATATTGTCATGTCCTGTTTTATCTCAATCTCCCCCTTATTGTTTCAAAAAAAATTATTTAGTCATTTCTTATGTTTGTCTTAATTAAAGAAAAAATTCAAAAAAAATTAGGATATATAAATAGTAACTCTTTTCGATTTCCTATTAACTTGTTTTGAAGTCCTGTAGTACTCCCACGATCTTGTTTTGACTGATTAGACTCTGTTCCATTCTATATGATAGTATCAAGTTTGAAGACATAGGCAACTACTTTGAAGACAATAAGATTCACTAAGATACCCATTCTGGTTTGACTATTGTCTTCTTTGGAAGTCCTGTAATGTTTACAATGCCTAAGTTTTATTGGTCTTGTTCTCTACTGTTTTGTCCAACTTTATAATATCTAATAAGATAGACAATTCTTTTTAAGGAAACAAGGGACAACGTTGATAACCATTGTTGATAAACTTGTACTCTGTTCTACACCATGTGCTATGTCTATCCTTGGTATTGACTGACAGCTTTGTTTTGCCATATTTGACTGTATTCTCCCCCCCCCCAAAGAAAGTAATAAGCACTAAGGAGTAATAAAATCCAAGATGTGTAAATTTTGTTGAAAAAAGAGAGGGGAAAAAAAAAAGAAAAAGAGCTCTAACGGATATAACAGCAAGTGTGTTTGGGGGTGTTAAATAGCTGACTTTATCAATGTTTTTGGAACATTGAACACAGCTGTTTGCAGTCTCCCTGTTTGAATGTCCACCTTGTGTTCTTTGATACTGTGATTTGAGGAACTATTTTCAAGAAAATAGTGTGTAATCTACTAGCAGGTAATTTCTTACTGTTATGGTTTTTTGTTTTGTTTTGTTTTGTTTTGTTTTGTTTTGTAGTTCTGTATTGCGTGTACCCTTACGCCGCTTTGGTTTGTTTTGTGTTTTTCTCTTTTTCCTCTTAAATAAAAAAAAAAAAAGATCTCCATTCCATGGCACTGGTTCCAGATATTTGGGCTTCCAAGATCAAAATAATATTAATAATGAACAAACACAAATGGGTAATTGACAAAAGATTGCCATTTATTGTCTGAGAAAGGTTTTAAAAAGAGATCTACTGTCTATCAGATTACCAAAAGAAGGGGAAAGAATTAATAATAATAGTATTATTTTACTTTACGTTTCTGAGAAATGGAATAAGTGCAGTTATAAAAGAAAGCATTGCCCTGCTCTTCCTATAGAGACATCTTTGTGCAAGGCCATTGTAGGGTAGCGACTGCGTTTGGGGACACTGCTCTTGCAGCAGTGAATGTGCTCTGCCTGGCAGAGCAGTGGCTGCTCGGATTTGTGCCACACAGGGTTTCCTGGTGCTGTGACAAAACAAAACCATCATGCCTTTTGTTTCTGAAGTTCTCAGGCCACTTGTCTTCCATTCTCATAAGATACTGGAGTATCTTAGAAAGAGGGAAAGGACTTGAAGCCAATGTTTTGTTTTGGTTTTTTTTTGTTGTTGTTATTGTTTTTGTTTTTGGCTTCCATACAGACACACATGGTTTTGAGTAAAAATTAATTTATATTGTTACAAAATACACATTAATGACCATATATGCAATCAAGCTACTACATCTTGAGATGTCAATGGAATTTCCAATGACTGCCCACTGGAAATTAGGCAAGGCCATATAGACAGCCAATGAAAAATAAAAGTTGTAAAATGCATTATATTATTCAAATTATCAGTGATATCATTATGAGGAGAAAATGCCATATAATATCTATTGTTTCCCTAACATGGGTATTTGGGCTATATACCTTCTTACTTAGTAACTGAATTTTAAAATATATAAATTTAATCAAAAACTACTTTCTTCATTGTGTTGAATATGTTTCTTTGCCTTCAGTGATTCACTCTGCATCAAAACCAGTCCTACTGTGTGCTCCAGAAGGCTGACTTGTGAAAAGATACAGCAGATCCAAGAGGAGGGTTCAGCAAACAGGATCACAAGTGAAGGATTAGAGAGCCAGAGGGCAGGAGAATGAGAGGTGAGGGCCTTTCTGTCCAAGGCCACTCCCTGATTCGTTGCTGATTGGCACTGCCTGTGCTCTCAAAGGCCAAGACTCCCACCTAATGATCTCTGCTTCTGTGACAACTACAGTTCTCTCCTGGCCCTAGGAACATCCATATTCTCAAGGGTATGGCAATAACTCTTTGATGCTAGCTCTGGGGTCTGTATTATCTTTGATCATGTTCCTGAACCCTACATGCACCTTTGTAAACTCTCTAAATTCTCTAAAATTACCCTCTGTCTCTCTGCAAAGCCTTTTCTGATACTTTTTCCACATTAGTTCTTTTTAATTTTATAACTCCTGTTTAATTTACATGGTATTTTTTGCATATGTCTTACAAGTGGTCTAAGACTGACTCAGTTGCTCCATGGGAAACTCTTTGAAGGTGAAGACCTTCTCTCTATGACTTCATACCCACCAGCAGCTTGAGGAAAGTGATTCATATCAATTGACACTCATGTCTGTTATCTCTTTGGGCCTCCTGGTTGAGCTGCCATAGTGCTATACTTCTCCCTTAAAAATTGTTTGGAAAATTATGTAGTAATTTGCACCAAAATTTAAGGGTGTTTGTATGACGCTAGAACAAGTGGTTTGTTGAGTATAACTTTTTAAAAAAATCAGTGAAAAAATAAGAACTGGTGATTTGGTGCAGAGGGATAGCTCAGCTCACATATTCATCAGAGCAGGCCAATATCATTAGGCTGTAGGCTGAAGAAATTATATCCCAATATTTTAAAAATAGCTGTCTATGGATCTAATGATTCTTAATTGTTTTGCTCTAGAGTAGGACACTTTTTATGAGCATTAAATAAACAAGATGTATGGTTTGCCTTTCCTGTGAAGTTGATGACTCAATTTAAATGTGCAGATGGATCTAAAGACCAGGAAACAGCTTAACAACACAGCTGACTGCACTTGGGCATATTAGAATTTACCAGTGGCTGGCGAGAGAAACACAGGTGTCCAGAAGATGCTGTACCTTATTAAAATGCGCGTGCATTTGGTCAGGTCAGAACCTTAAAATGCAAATTCTTCATGTAAATGTCTACATGCATTAGAAATGGAAATTTTGGCTCCAAAATTGCAAAATTGGCTCCATTTGCAGTTTCAGAAAGCATGGAATTAGATAGCTGAAGTTCATACTGTTAAGTATAGGAGTCATAATAATGACATTTTTATTAAGCCCTTATGTGTTAGGCATCGTGCTGAGAATTTTATATCATTTTATTTAATCTTTATAAAATTGTAGACAAAGTATTATTATTCCTCCAGTTTACAGATAGAAAAACTGAGGCATGATGTAGAACTAACCTCAATGTATTCACCCAGGTAAAGCATTTGGGTTTGTAAATACATGGAGATTATAATAAAATAGCAAACAGAGGCTTCCACAAGTCAAATTACACTTCTCAGTATCCCTAGAGCAAAACTCACATAATTAATAAAAAAGATTCTCTTACTTGCATACTGAGCCACTTTCCCTTTCAACTTGACTAACGATGACAACAAACTTTGTTTATAAGAAAAAATATAATATATGTAATAAAAATATTTATAACAGAAGAAAAATGCAGCAAAGACATGAAAAGAGACAGGTGGACACTGATAAATGAACAAAAAATGTAAGTACAAAAAATATAAGTAGATTTAGAAATAACACAAAAAAATTACTGTGCAACTACTGAGTAGTCAGCCCAAAGCATTTATTCATACTAATAATTCTCTTGGCTTATTGTTGTTTCTTCTTCTTCTTCTTCTTCTTCTTCTTCTTCTTCTTCTTCTTCTTCTTTTTCTTCTTCTTCTTCTTCTTTTTCTTCTCCTCCTCCTTCTCCTCCTCCTCCTCCTCCCCCTCTCCTCCTCCTCCTCCTCCTTCTTCTTCTTCTTCTTCTTCTTTTTCTTCTTCTTCTTCTTCTTTCTCCTCCTGCTCCTCCTCCTTTCCCTCCTTCGACTCCTCTTTCTCCTCCTCCTTCTCCTTCTTCTCTTTCTCCTTGTCCTTCTTTTCCTCCTCCTCCTCCTCCTCTTCTTCCTCCTTCTCTTTCTTCCTTCTTTCCTCTTTTTCTTCTTCTTCACCTTACTGGGGATTAAGTGCAAGGCCCTTTGCATTGAGCTACGTCCCCAGGCCTTTTTATCTTTTATTTTGAGACGAGTCTTGCTAAATCACTAAGTTGTCCAGGCTCGGCTCAAACTTATAAGCCTCACACCTCAGCCTCCAAGAGTTTTGGGGTGACAGGCATGCACCACTGTGCCCAGCGGGTGTATCTTTTGTGATTTTCTTTTTCTTTTCTCCTTCTTTTTTAAAAAATTTTCTTATAGGAAGTAAGTGCAAAACACTTACTGGTGGCAGGAATTTCATTCTAAAATTTAATTCGTTTAAAGTTTTTGCAATTTAATTATCTAGAACTTCTGTTAGGCAGAAATGCCATTGTCTTCTACCAAAGATGGTTTCTGGATGGTATTCCAGCTACGAAGGTCTGAAAGCCACTTGGGACAAAAATCTTGGGATGGAAGTCTTGTACAAGCTAAGCTAATATGCATGTAATCATTATGCATGAAACATGATACCATTATTTGTTCATTTTTTCCATGTGCATTTCTGAAAAAAAATTCTCCATTGATTGTGGGACTTCCTGATTTTTAATTTTAAACAGAATTATAGTTTAATTTTACTTTAAATCAATAGAAAGAATTATGTGGCTGGAAGAAATCACTGAATAGCTCTGAGTCTTAGTTTCCTATCTTTCACAAACGTGATTTAATACCAAGGTTTCAAAGTTGTTGTAAACATTAAAGATAAAATCAACAGAGTCTGGCCCAGAGCATTTATGCAAAACTAGCGGCTACAGAAAAAGGATGTGGCAGCACATGAGAGGGGAAAAAGCTCCAATGCTAGGGGCTCAGGCTCAGGACTGCTGTATGAGCAAGGGCAAGGTAATTACTCTGTGTCTCAGTTTACTCATTGGTAAGGTGAAGGTGAGAGTAGCATCTGTCTCAGAAGATTTTTGTGAGAATGACATTATCCACTGCCCACAGAGCACATACTGCTCTATCTGGCACACAGGAGATCACTGAATGCTCGTTTTTGTTTTCGTTTTTTTATGGACTCCAGTCCTTCATTTTATAGATCAGCTAGCTGATGTTTAGAAAGGTAAAATAATTTATTTCAAGGTCTCTCAGAATCCCTGAGTCCAACTGTCTACTCCAATACACCTTCTTTGCCCCACATTTTGACCCCTTTGCCTGCATACTCCCACTAAACAACTCCTCTTTTTCAGTCATTGCAACTGCTTCTCATCTTCCACACGCCCTTCAGTCCCCATAGACAGACAAGCTAAGTTTCCACAAAAGCAAAGATGAATCACCAGGAAGCTGATTAGGCTTCAGGTTCTTTCCAAGTGTGTCCCAGCAACATGTTTATATGGTCCTCTGTTTTTCGTCACTTTTTACTTTTCTACCTCTTTCCTTTAAAAGAATAGCAAATTGTAAAAGCTAAATATTTATAATAGCAAATTCTTGGCTGCTAGGATGTAGGTATCATTTTCACCTATTTCACCCATGTGCACGTGAAGGAATAGAGGAGATGGGGTTTAAAGCCACCCAAGTACTGTGAATCAGGGGTAGCAATTGGACCCTGTATCACTGGGCTCAAAAATCCCTGCAGAACCCGAGTCACTCTGCTCCTTGGCAGAATACACTCCCTGATCCCCTGGGTGATCCTTCCCACATGTTTGTTTTTCTGTCTTCCCACATAGCTGGTAAATTCTATTAGGCCAGAACAAAGTCTTTATTATCCTCTGTATGCCATCGCTGCTGGGAAGAGGGTTGAACCACAGTGGGATGCAGCGGCTGCTGCCTTCAGGTGCCTACAAGAACGAATGGTTTCATGCATCTTGACATCTCACACACAGTATCAGCCTCCTCTCAGGAGAGTAACAAAAACTTGCCTTTCTCATCCCTCAGGAAAAGCAGATGCTAAGTCAGAAGAAATGTCATGGGGAAAAGAATATGCGGATGACAGCAACAAGAATGGCCTTGGCAGCTGTCACTGGCTCCAGTGGTTCGCATAAGAAGCTTACCTAGGCAGAGTGTTCCTTATAAACAGACTACAGGGTTTGAACACCATCCTGAAATCAAGGGCAGGGTGACTAGGTTGGATGAGCACAAAGTGCGAACATTACAGGCAGGAATATTTTCCCAAGATAGATTCCATGTTACTCAAACTCTTCCTTCTACACATTCTTAGTTGAAGGCAAATTCCTCAGCAAATGTGTGCAGGAAAAGTCAATTGCATGTGTTCCAGTCAGTCCAACTGTGCATATCTATGTGTTTTAAACACAAAATGTATAATGCACAATGTGATCCTGCTGGCAGATAGTAAATTTAACGCTGACTTTTTTTTGGTAACTATAAATAATTTCTTAGAACCTGTAGGAATTTCTGGAAGACAATGATCAATTATATCTTATTTAAAAAAGGTGGTAACTTGGGTTTAAGGTATGCAAAATCCTCTGACAGGTTAGAGAACTCTTGACCTTCCTGGACCTCATTTTTGTGGTGTGGTCAAGTAGATGAGCCTTGGATATAGTGCCTGGGTTGGAATCTTACAGCTGACATGTTTTTGATGTGACCTTGGACAAATCCCATTGTCTTTCCAATTTTCCTTTTTCTCATTTATAAAATAGGGCCATAATACCACCTTCTCTTTTTGGGTCATGGCAAAAAAATAAAATTTAAAATGCATTTATAAAGTGCTTACATTATTAACTAGCACTAGGCTTTATAAACTGTGCTATTACAATGGTATATTAGTACTACTGAGTATCAGTAAGGGTATTGAACTAGAATATTTGTAATAACTTTTCCTGATCCAGCGTTCTACATACCCAAACACTGGGACCCAGAAACACATGGAGCCTTTGATGAGCTTGAAATTACAGCATATTTCAGAATGGGATCAATGAGAGAGGCTGCCCCTAGAATTTTGAGAACATCTCCTGTGCATTAACTGTGTCTTTCATTTATTACTTTTTGTTCAGATGCTTTGACATTTAAGGCCTCGCTGATCCTAAAGAGATTGTTCCTCTCTGGTTAATCAATTCCTAAGCACAGTGCTACTTGTTGGAGAGTGGTTTTCAGAGGCAAACCAGGAAATCCAGACCTCACTCTCCACCCATCCCCTCACAAGGTCTCATACTAGGAGTCACTATCTATATATTCTATCACAACAGGGTAAGGTACCCAACAATCAGGACAATCCCCATGCCTCAGAGCCTGCTGGAGTTATCCAAACTAGCCAGTCCTCAGCTGCTTACCTGCTTACCTGCTTACCTTTTCCTGCAGAAATCACAGAATGACCCTCTTCCTCTCAGTCCTCCCTCCTTCTCCTGACCATTTTAGCAATTCTGGTTCCCCACTGTTCTGCCATAACTACATCCTCTTATCTTCCAACACGTCAGTAAAACTGTCTTTCCAGTGGTAGTTTTCTCCTGATGTTAAGTTTGCCATAATTAAATAATAATACAGCATATTTTAAAGTATTTTCTTCTCCTAGGCTTCTACCATGGAAGTAGAATTTGTTTCTCTCAGTGGGTTTGTATCACTTCCTTCCTTAGACTCTGGTGCAGCTACTACCTGCATATATAGTTCCTATCTAAATTAGAATCCCCTTCAGTTTGAGTGGCCTCCTAATTAAAGAGTAAACTGCATCTTTGTGATAAGGAAAAGGCCCCTCCTTCCTATAGATGGGCATGGTTCTGACCATAAGGCTCAGTGGAGCTCTAAAAGAGAGCAGTTCCACTTAACCCTTTAGGTGGCATCCTTGTCTAGCACACAACCTGAACATCTCTGTGGCACCTCTAGCCTCTGAACCCCTCGAGGATAAGTGTCTCAATCACTAAGCCAGGCTAGAGTACAAAAATGGGAAAGAAAAAGAAAAGAAGGATGGTAGAAAACAAAAGACAAGAAAAGAGAAAGTAAAATTATAAAACCTTGTCCTAATTTTTAAGTAAATAGTAATTCCTTCTACCAATTTCTACTAATCCTCTTCTCCTTGTATTCTCCAGTTGAGCTGTGCAGTTTTTAGGATAAGCATTCCATTATTTAGTCCTCAGTTTTAGGCTTTAACATACACACCCAATGAAACAAGAAATTCTGTCCCTTTTTTTAAGCCAAGGAAATCATTTATTCAAGAGAATCACACTGACATGCCCAATCTAGACCCTGAAAATATACACATCTAAGGAAGAAAAGTTAATTGGTTATTAAAACATCAAAAGATGACAAACCATCAGTGTTAAATGTATTACCAAATAAATGATTTGGCCATGTTTTTAAGTAATAATAACTACATGCAGGTACACATTTTTAGTGCATTGGTAGCATAAAGCAAAGATCCCTTGAATCACGGGAACACCTATATTGCATATCACAGTTCATAGAGATGGTCAAACTGTTTCGAAACACTTTCAGTATCCCAAGATGCACTGTTCCAAACTGCCATCTTAACAAACACTGAAATTTTCAAGATGTTTTCTTAATCACAGCAGTAAAATTAAAGGGAATAAGCCACACATTAGAATCTGAGAGCTCTAGCCTGGAATTTTCCCAGCCATTCACCATGTATGACCCTAAATACATTAACGTATTCACCTTCAAATAGGAATTATGATAAAAATAAAATTGAAGCCTGGGGAGTTAACTCAGTCGCTCAAGCACTTGCCTGGTAAGCACAAGGTCGTGAGTTCAATCCCTGGTACCAAAAAAAAAAAAAAAAAATTACAAAAATAAAATTGAGTTGTAAGAATCAAGACAGTGCATAGACAATGCTTATTCAGCAACTATTAGCTATAAACAATCTCGTATTTGTTTGTAGAAGAATATCATATCCAAGCACATTAATTTCTCTCTCCAACTATACTTCAAATCCAATAAGCACAAAATCTTCACATGCTTCTTTTGAATATTTCACAATCTAATAGACCAGATAATCTACAGTACTGTAAAACTAATTTTTACTGCCCTAGAATCTGGGTGAATATGGATTAAGAACGTCTAATGTACCTGTTACAGCTTGTATCTGGATGTTCTGGAAGTCTGGATGTCTTTCCAAGTTGTCACCAAAAATACAGTGAGTGCTACTGTGGTGAAGTGAGTGCCACTCAGAGGAAAGAAAAGCTTGTAAAACATGGTGTGTCCTCATCCACCCTTGTCACTAGATCAAACACCGTACAACGTCTGGCTTCCTCCCAAGTCAAAATGACCATGAAGGCTAAAACTTTAATTCATGCAGAACAGTAAGGCAGCCACCACAACACACCTAAAGATGCTCACAAAAGAGGGCACCCAGAATTGCTTTGAAAGATGGCAAGAGTGATGAGATAAATGTGTTTGAAGTGGCGAGGGGGGGCAGTGTTTTGAGGTGGTTTAATAGCAATGTGTCTTTTACTGTAATGAATTTTTTAAAATGTAAACATTCCTCATATTTGTTGACCCCACCTCACATTTTTCTTCAGTTTCTTGCTTGCCAGTCTCTTCAATTTATCCTAAAAAATTGATCAGGAAATTTCTAATCTTTGTCAGGCAGTGAGGAGAGATAGACGGCTGTCAAATGGTCTCAAAACTTGCAGGAGAACTACTTTAGAAGAACCTGTTTCAAATAAATATTTTGTTTTGTTTTCATGTGTAAACATGGGCTTTACTGTTGAAAAGTTTGTAAAGTGTAGACAAGCTCAAAGTTAAATCTGGGGCTTTATTAAGAAACCAACCCCAGCTTTCCCTGTATTTGCTTATGTACTTTCTCTTTTAAAATGCCGACAGGAGGCTTCCTGTGGCCTAAAGGGCAAGATCTATATTGTCTGTTTTATAGATTACAAATTCCAAAATCCAAAATTCATAGACTTTCTCAAGGTCACACAGATCATAAAAGGGAAAACCAGACTTATTGTTTCTCCAGTCACCAACACAGTGAAAGTTTGGTTTACTTATTTCTTTGGAAGACTGTTGAGGAAAATCACTTTATAACACAGCATAACTCAGTCTCCTTGTCTTCAAACAGCATCACCCAACAGTCTTTGAAACAGACTGTCTGCAGCAACAAAAGCTGGAAATCAAAACTCTTAGAACTCATGGGGACAGAATAAGGTGGAAAGTTTCTCCCTTCCACACTTACATGTTCAATACCTCAGACTGAAGAACAGCATCACTTCAAAGTCACTTACCCAAATCTGAAGCTTGATTCTCTTTTCATTTTTGAATACAGTTTTTACTTTGAAATCAATCCCAACTGTGCTGACGAATGCAGATGTAAAGGAGTCATCTGCATAACGGAACAGAAAAGATGTTTTCCCCACACTGCTATTGCCGATGATCAGCAATTTGAACATGTAGTCAAAGTTCTGATCAGAGGAGTCTTTCTGGCCATACCTTGAATCTTGGGAAGAGGCCATCTGTGAAAAATTAAAAAAAAAAAAAGCAAACATGATAAGTCTCTTACTCAATATGAAGCTAGCAGCACATTCATTATTGACTTTGCTAGAAACATATCAGAGAGTCAGGAGGCAAGTGGAGAGTGTTCCCCAGTCTTCCTCTGATACCAGTATCCATGGCAATAATTCCCTGCTGGAAGACAGAACAGCAAATCTTACAGCTCTGTCCAGCTGTGTTGGTACTTGTCTCAGCTCAGCATTCAGAACCAATCAAAGACACCAAAGGAGGTATCTCTAAGGGTAACATGAAAAGCAAAGATATGAGGCATTGGCTAGGCCATGCGGGCTCGGAAACTTTGTAATCTCAGCGATGGAGACACCAAAGTGACTGAACAGCAGGGTGTTTTTTCTTAAATTATCTGAATTGTTAGAGTCTGTCTTACTTCCTGTGGGAATAGACACAAAGCATTTCTCTGTTTCATCTATTAACATCCTGTGGGATTGACATCCTACCAAAAATGTAGTCTCTCTCAAATTAAAAATGATGATGGCTCAATCAGTGGTTCATACTATTTCATTCAATGTGCCAACTTAACTAACTTAGCATAATAACCAGTGAGCTAGGTATCTTTATTGTTTCAATATTTATGAAAAAATTGAGGCTCAGAGATATTTAGTAACTTCTTTAGGCAAGAGAGGTAGGAATCAAACCAGGAAATTGGTACAAGAGTTCGTGTTCTTGATCCCTGCTCCCAATGATATCTAGGGAAGTAAGTACAAGAGCTCTAAGAAGTCCAAGTGGAAAGTGATCACTGTGGGAGAATCAATGATGAGCCCTGCCTGGGTTCAAATAATGACCCCACTACTCACTGGCTGTGGGACCTAGGCTTTATTTTAAATTGATATATCACAGTACCTTCCCTTGCATGGAGTGGAAAAAAAAATGAAAACTAACTTGGAATTCTTATGAAATTAATCAATAAAATATCTGCAAAGCAGGTCTATAAATCATCATAGAATATAAAATGGTTTTATATTAATTTAAACACTTTAGGTAGACGATATTTTTCTCATCTTTGAAATATAATTTTAACATACATCAAGAATGATGTTTTATTAATTCTAAGTTCCACCTGAATCAATACAGAAAACAGGTATTTAAAATAGTGACTCCCACTGAGTAATTAGTGTATCTACTCTGTACATTTTCAGGTGGTGTATATTTTTTGGCAATCATTGTGCTATCCAATATAGTAGCCACTAGCTACATGTGGCTATTTAGATTATATTAAAGTTAAATAAAATATAAAAACTTAGTTTTTCAATCACACTAGCCACATTTCATATATGCAAAAGTCATAAGCAGCTAGTGGCTACTCTATTTGATGGTTTAAATATGAAACATTGGTGTAATTACAGAAATTTCTCTTGAACAATTCTAGACTACATAGTCTATTTTTTATTCCAATAAAAGCTGATTAATGATTACATCCTTACTCTTAGGTATGCTATGGGTAGGATACAGTTTCATGTGATACAAAGCCTCTTTCCCAGTGTGACAGTTTAGAGGAAGCAGAAACTTCAAGAGGTGAGGCCTGACGGATAGTCATTATGTCTGGGTACAACCTTTAGAGGGGATTAATGTTGTTCTCAAGGAATCCTGGTTAGTTAACACAATAGTTGTTGTTACAGAAAGTATGAACCTGGCCTTTAAATCTCTCTGGCTTTCTGTCTCGCCATCTGATGTCTCATTCACACACATACTCCCACCATGATGCCATTCACTATGTTGTGACATGGTCAAAAGTCCCTCCAGACCTGAGCAGTCACTAATACCATGCTCTTAGAACTCCAGAACTGTGGGATAGATGAATATCTTTTATTTTAGAATATCTAGCATCAGGTACTTTGTATAGCAACAAAAACTGGACTAATCAAGGTAAGAGGGGGAAAAAAGAAGCCTCTACGATGGTAAAAGACTAGAAACAGTATACAGTAGCTCATCTGAGACAAAATTGCTTGCCTGAAGTTAGAAAGTCAAGAGTCTCTGTGTGTAAGGGATGTGTGTGTGTGTGTGTGTGTGTGTGTGTGTGAGAGAGAGAGAGAGAGAGAGAGAGAGAGAGAGAGAGAGAATATTTTAAGTGAGAAGAGAAAAAAGAGGCAACATCTTCCCCTTCTACACATACTCACTGCCAGCAAGAGAATGCACTTAGGCATATAACAATGACAAAATGAGTATCTGCATATATCATGAAAGTTAAGGGCAACAAAGCTTCTGATTGAACCTCACATTTTCTTATTAAATGTAAACTTAAGCTTTTCTTTTATCAGTCTATTTAGTCACATGAACATATTTAGAAATTATAAGAATTTGTAAGGAATGTTTGCGGCTGTATAAATTATGCTTTTATAATATACCACATCAACAGAGCCAAAAACAAAAACCAAATAGACATCTCAATAGATGCAGGAAAAGGTTTCAATAAAGTCCAACACATATTCATGATTTAAAAAAAAAACCCTTCAGAAACTTGGAATACACGGTGTCTATCTCAAGCCCATAAAATCTATGACAAACCAACAGCCAACATTATACTAAATGGACAAAAACTGAAAGCTTTCACTTTAAAATCAGGAATTAGACAAGGATGTCCACTATCATCACTCCTATTAACATAGTTCTGGAAACACTAGCCAGGGCAATCAGACAAGAGGGAGAAATAAAAGTAATAAAGAGAGGAAAGGAAGAAGTTAAATTATCACTATTTGCAGATGACATGATACTCTATATAGAAGGCCCAAAAAACTCCATTAAAAGACTACTTGAAGTAATAAACAAATTCATCACTGTAGCTGGATACAAAGTCAACATTCAAAAATCAATAGCATTCTTGTACATAAACAAAAAACTCACCGAGAGAGAAATTATGGAATATTGCCCTTCACAATAGCATCTAAAAAAATGAAATACTTAGGAATCAACCTAAGAATGTAAAAAACCTACATGCTGAAAATTATACTAAAAAAGGAGATTGAAGAGGATATCAGAAAATGGAAGGATATTCTTTGTTCTTGGCTAGGAAGAACCAACATTGTGAAAATGGCCGTACTCCCAAAACTCATATAGATTTAATGCAATCTCAATCAAAATACCATTAACATACTTCACAGATCTAGAGAAAACACTCCTAAAATTCATTTGGAAACAGAAGAAACCTGGAATAACAAAGGCAATTCTGGGCAACAAAGGCAAGGCAGGAGACATCTCAATTCCTGACTTGAAACTATACTACAAAACCACAGTGAAAAAATCAGCATGGTACTGGCAAAGAAATGGACCTGAGGATTAATGGAACAGATTAGAAGATGCAAACACAACTACAAAGACATTAAGCCACCTGATATTTCACAAAGGGGCTAAACATGCTCACTGGAAGAAGGATAGCCTCTTTAATAAATGGCATTGGAAAAATTGGCTCTCCACATGCTGAAGACTGAAACTAGATCCATGCCTATCACCATGCACAAAACCAAAGTCTAAATGGATCAAAGATCTAAATATTAAAACAGAAACATTGAATACACTGGAAAACAAGGTAGGTAGAAGGTTTGGAGACAAGGGTAGGCAGAGAATTCATGAACAAAACACAAACTACATGGGAAACACTTCAAAGAATCAACAACTGGGATCTCATATGATTGAAATGTTTCTATACTTCTAAAGAAATCACCAACAGAGTGAAAAGAAAACCCACATAATGGGAAAGAATTTTAGCCAGCAACCCCTCAAACAAAGGGCTTATATCAAGAACATATAAAGAATTAAAAAACATCAAGCCCCTCAAATTCAAAGACCCTCTCCAAAAATGGGTATCTGAGATGAACACACAGTTCTCAGATGATGATATACAGATGGCAAATAAATACATAAAGAGAAATGCAAATTAAAACAGCATTGAGATTTCATCTCACTGTGGAAAGAATGGCTGCCATCAAGAAATCAACTGATAACAAATGTGGGGAAAAGGAACACTGCTTCACTGTAGGTGGGAGTCTAGACTGGTGCAACTACTATGCAAATCAGTATGGAGAATTCTTAGAAGACTAGGACTGAAGTTCCATTCAACCCAGCTATTCCCCTCCTTGGTATTTTCCCAGAAAAACTGAAAACTCATATCACAGTGATATATGTGCACCCATGTTCATAGCAGCACAATTTGTAATAGCTAAATCTTGGAAACAACCAAGATGTCCATCAACTGCAGAGTGGATGAAAAAGATGTGGTATTTGTATACAATGGAATATTACTCATCTATAAAAAGGATGATCTTGAGGTCTTCATTGGCAAATGGAGACAACTGGAAACTATCCTCATTAATGAAATGAATAAGAATCATATTTATAAATATCATTGTGTATCTAATGTAAAAAGTAATAAGAAATGTAGGAGTAATAACGCCCAAAAATGTGTAATTGCTATTGTAAAAAAGAGAGGAAAAAAGTGCTCTAAACGACATAACTGCATGTATGTTTAAGTGTGTAGAATTGATAACCATATTACTAGGTTTTTGTTGGATAGTTGAACAGAACTGTTTGTAGTCTTGCTGTTTGACTGTCCACTTTGTATGGTTTAATTTTGTAACTTGAACAACTATTTCTAAGAGGACACTATGTAATTATCAACTAGTGATTTCTTACTGTTGATTTTTTTGAAATTATGTATTATTTCTACGCTTTTTCTTTTTTGTTTTTCTTTAAATAAAAAAACTATGCTTTTAACATAGACAAGCATCTGACCTCTCTGTGTCCCAGTGACATCTAGGGAAATAAGCCCATGTGCTCTCAGAAGACTACACGGGAAGTGGTCACTTCAGGAAGAGTCAGTGATGAGTCCTTCCTAGCAGAACAGAGCACACACTAAGGTAAATGTTCCCCAACAGAAGCAGTCAAGGATGAGTGGGGTTACAATTTTTGATTACCAATTTGAAAAGTAGTTTTACTCTGATGACTAAAAAGCCCT